ATCCCCAAACCCTGAACTACCCACAATCCTAGACCCCAAGCTTTGTGATGTTTGAATGTGCCGGGATTCTGAGCAAGGGGTGCAGGGTTACACTGAGTAGTCCGGAGTCCTTAAACCGAAGCCCTACAAACAACTCTAGAACAGCAAAACCCCTAAACCCCGAACCTTTACAAACCAAACCCTCAATCCGAAACCCTAAGCCCCTAAACCTTCGAACCCAACCCGCTAACGTCATAAACCTCCACACTCCCAAGACTCTTCTCTTCAACTCCCCAACCCTACAACTTACTGGTGGTTAGCAGGGAAAAACGGAATGTAATCCCTCTATAATCTTTGTATATTCCCTTCTTCTTTCCTACTAACAGTAAAACCCAAAACCTTAAATCCGAAACCCCAAATCCTAAACCCTAAACCCCCCCCCCCCCAGTAAGACGAAACCTTTCTTTCTCAAGAGGATGCTGAACGGCCGAGCGGCCTCAAAGCGCCCTTCGCTGTTCAGGCCAGAAGCGGGCGAAAGCTTATGGGTTCAGGGTTTAGGATTCAGGATTTAGGGTTTAGGGTTTGGGTTTTGGGAAAATAGTTGAGGATTCAGGGTTGAGGATTTAGGGTCAAGGGTTTAGTGAGGGTTTAGGATTTAGGGTCTAGGGTTTATGGGTGAAGATACATACAGTTGGCAACACTTTCTTCGTATATTCCAATTAGTGTTAGTATTGCTGTTGCGATTATTGTTGTTGATCATTCCCGTCTCGGAAGCAGCGAACATCAATCCTGTCCTAAATTCCTATACAATAGCCATAGCCATACTACGATCTTCAGGTAGGGTTTTGAAGCTGTGCTTTACAGAGTTTTCTGAGTTCTTGTGGGCTCAGGGAACCCAAAGGCCAACACCCTTGAAGCCTTTCACCCCAAACTCTGAAACCCCTAAACCCGAAACCCTGAACTTGGATGTCAGGGTTCATTCTTTGGCTTTCGGGCCTGTATCCCCGGACTTCTTTGGCCGTGGTCGTGCGTAGGTCGTGTAGCGCTCCCTTGGCAGAGTAGGGATTGGGGTCGGGTTAGGTTCAGGGTTTAGGGGTTTGGGGGTTTGGGGGTTTAGGGTTTAGGGGTTAGGGGTTTAGGGACCGGATGCAGCGGCTACGGAAAACTCCAAGCCCTCAATCCAGTAGACCTCAACCCCGAATGACCAGCTCCTGGGGTAGATCTGGCGCTTCATAGGCCCAACTTGGCTTCCAAGCACGATAAGGGTCAAGGTTTTGAGCTTGGGCAAGTAGAGTCTAAGCCACTTGAGATCTTATCGTCCTGCTGTGGATAGACGACGTAACACGTAGGGTGCTCGTTATGGGCTCCAGTTATTAGATCCTGTCTACTTAGGAAGGCTGGAAAGCACTAAGACCAAGACCTTAAATTCTGCAGAGGCTAAACCCTACATCCTGCACCACTCTGGAGCCCTGAATCCCCTGAATCCTAGCCTAGACCCGTGGGCAGGCATGGTCGCAGTTGAGGATGCATCACGTAGCGGTCTCGGCTGAGACGATCCAGGGTTCAGGGGATTCCCCCAAACCTTAGAGTATAACCCCAACATAACCCCAATATAACCCTAATATAACCCCAATATAACCCTAATATAACCCCAATATAACCCTAAAATAACACCAATAAAACCCCAATATAACCCTAATATAACACCAATAAAACCCCCATATAAAGATCGACGTATCCAAACATCTTTGGGGTTTCGTTGCGGTGGAGGAATATCCCAAGGGGGGGGGTTTTAAGTGTGCATTCAGATATGTGATAATGCTGATGGTGCTCTTATTCACTTCCACTGCCGATGTTGGGACTTGCATTTGGGGAACCTCACAAGAAGTAAGCTGCATGGTGGGAAGTTCAACAAGTACATGAGCAAGACTCAGGGCATTCCTTTGGGGTTGGATACTACCCCCACTTAGCTGTAGCTGGAGAAAAGTTACAATCTAAGAATATACAAACCTTAATATGACCCCTTCATAGAGTGTACCTGGGTAGGGGCAGTACAAAAGGTGCAGGCCATCGAATTGCCTTAAGTGGGGGCAACTTGCGGAAACTGAAGGTAAAGGGTCCAGGAGTGAGTGTTTCGTTTAGGGTTTAGGGTTTTCCAGCTAGGTAGGGGAAGCCCTAGTTATCATTGCTGCAATTCCTGTTTCTTTCTAGTACGGATAACAGTAGTGTTTGGTAGCACACCTACAAGGGATAAGGGTTCAGGATTTCGTCTTTGCGACTAGGAGTTCAAGGTCTGAGGCAGATGGAGTGGTTGCAGTGTGGGTTTTCTCCCCTTGGGTTGATGCTACCGTCCCCTTAGGTAGATAGAATACTGGGTATATGGGCAAACTTGCAATAATGTACCCAAAGCCATATTCTATCTACTTAAGGGGGACTATGCTCGGCAAAATTGGGTTTGGTGGTCGAGGACTTGGACATGTTTTTGTGTGCCTACATTGATGACAGCTTAAGTTGCTGTAGCTGGACAGCACGAGGATCTTGACTACGTATCTCCATATCCATAGCAGGCTGTCGTATCCGGGATGTTGGTCTGTGGCACCTACCTTGAATCACTGAAAGCCTTTTTCGTAGCCGAAACTATGCAATCTGAAATCCTTACCCAGGTAAGCTTTGATCTTGGCCTGAAGAACACTCCTCACTGGCGGACTTTTTAATCGAGACCTCAGGATACACGATAAGGAGCAAGTTTCTATTTCCCAGATACTGCTGCAGTAGGGTTCTTACATCTCATGAAAAGGTAACGCTCTTGCTCGGCTCCCTACACTCTAAAACACTAAACCAGCTGAGGTCGAAGATGTGGCATTCCTTCCAGGCCCGGGGATAGGTTTAGGGTTTGGGCCTCGCAGCTTGGGGTAAAATACTTTTGGGCCTGGGGATTTAGGGTCAGTGTGTTCAAGGGGGAGCTAGGGCGCTCATGGAGGCCTCGGCGCAGCTCCATGTAGTGTTAGGGTTCTGGGAAGAACCCTTGACAGTCATAATTTCAGGTTTTGCGCGTGACAGGCAGGGAGGAGGGGGCGGGATGTGCGCTTCCAGTAGTTGTCTGCATGGGTCTTTTGCAGCAGCTTGTCTTAGAACATCTGCACCACATCTAACATGTTCATTTCCCGCCGTACATCCTGTGGACCCTGAGCAGTGGCTCCAAGACCCTGACATCTTCAACCCAAGACCCCAGATCAAACACCCAAAGCCCAAACCACAAAATGCCCAAGAGGCTACCACCAGCCAACCATCGCATGCCTGGGGCAGGCCACTGCCCTGGGTCTTCTGGATAACCAGGGTTCAGGGTATTGGGATATGTGATTACTTTACGGTTTGGGGATTAGGATGACGTTCAGTACTGGTTGACAGCTAAAAAGCCAGCAGGAGGTCTCAATCTCATTCCGCAAATGCCGATGATTAGTTTATAATCCTAAGCAGACGGCGTAAAATGAATAGGCAAGGAGCATAGGTGCACTGGATGTTCAATCAATTTGTTATCATGGCTATTTGGTGTCCACATTCACTGCTGTGACACAACGCATGCCTCGTTCCTTGCTCTTTGGCCGTCCCCAAGCTTTAGACTCTCAACCATGCAAACCCTATGACCTTTTTCAACCGTATGAACCCTGCAAACCTTATAAACCCTGTCAAAACCCCAATCTCTAAACCCCAAACCCCTTTGTTCGAGAAAAAAACCCAAACCCCGGAACCCCCAATGCGAGGCCAAGCCCAGCTGGGGCGGCTGCATCAGCGAAACAGCGAAGGACGGGCTCCCAGTTGGTTGATGTAAGGGCTTGGGACATCTGAGCTATAGTCTAAGGTCCTTAAAGGGTGTTGTATAGGGGACTATATATGCTTCTATATCCTCTATCTGAGCTGTAGTCTAAACTCCTTAAAGGGTGCTATAAACGGGGAGATTATAGGGGTTACTAAGGGGGATACCAGGAGTTTAGATTCTAGCTCCTCTGAAAGCTGCGGGGTTCTGGGAGATTTCGGGGATCCTCCTCCTCTATCCCAGGCCGAGTGCTCCGTGGTGGTGCTGGTGCTAGACTTGGTCCAGAAGAGCTCTCACTTGATCTGGGCTGTTCCCTCAGTCGTGGCTTAAAGACTCACAGGAGTTGAAAGAAGTGTAAGTTGAGGGGTGTTAGAGGCCCTATATTGCCCTATATAACCCTATATAACCCTATACTACCCTATATAACCCCATATTACTTTCTAATATTACGGCAAAGGGGAGTAGCTTTTGCGATCCGGGCTCAGGGTTCATCTGGTATTCGTTTAACTCGGAGGTTGAGATTAGGGTTGATAGAGGCTGAGAATGTTTATAGCGGGATTCTAGAAGCTTCAAAGAAGGTCTGCAGAGAGTTCATTACTTTCATCATAGGTTTAAAGGGTTCAAAAGGTTGTCTGAGGAGTTCCTAATGGTTCCTCGATGTTTTATAAGGAGGTTATAGTCGTTTATAGAAGGTTTATAGATGGTTAGTAGAAAGTTTACAAAGGTTCCATAGAGCTTTATTGGAGGCTAAACATGTACCCTCCCCCCGCTGGTCCTGTGGTCCTGTGATCTGGGTCCTATGGTGAAGGCTTATAGTTGAAAGAGGATTTAGAGAATTTATCCAGAGAGTTCCTGGGGGTTTCTAGACATGGCTCATCCCCAGATGGACTGGGAACTCCATCGAAGCCTGTAGATGCGTAGAGATCGGGCCCCACCCTTCCAGAAGCTTGAGTGATCTTGAGTGTCAAAAACCCAAAGCATCCTAAATCTACGCCCGAAATGTGTGTCTCTGAAATCGTATATGGGTATTTCCATAAACAAGGGGCCCCGATATAGACCCCAAAATGCTAGAACCAAATATGAGCCCTAATCTTTGTCCCTGTATCGCCAGCGCCTTAGTGCCGAAGCTCCAAGCCCAAAGCCTCTGGTTTTTGAGGCCTCTCATGGCCTGGAAAACCCGAAGCTCTAAACCCCAAACCATTTTGAGGCCTCCCATGGCCTCGAAGATGACGTTTTCCGGATCGTCCCACTTCCGCTCCCAACTGGCGGCAGCTTGTCTCATTTAGGGTTTAGGGTTTAGGGCACTTTGTTTGGAACCTAGCGTTTGTCACGGGTGTACAAGTGGTCATGAGATGGTAGTCATTGTCACACAGTGGTCGGGAGACCTGTTAGGGGCCTTCTGGGCTGAAGCCTCCACTGAAGTCCCACTTCTTCAGACGCCCAAGAGCTCTGACCCCGAGCCCCTTAAACGTATTCCAAAACGTCAAAGGCCAAACCGTCAAACACCAATGCCACCATGTATTACACGCTTTTTCTCCAGGCGTTCTCGCGATCTCCCAAAACTCGGTCACCTACTTGAAGGCAGGGGGTAAAGGGCTTCAGGAAGTGCTTTCGACAGTCAACATTTCAGTTCGCAAAGCAGGGACACACTGAGGTTTCGGGTTCAAACGCCTGAAATTCCTACATATGGGCTTTTGCTGCATTGTGTAGATAATGTAAGGTCACTGGGAAGTAGAAGTCCTTTTAAGATTTGGGGGATTCAAAGACAAGTCCGGGAGTGCAAAGAGGTTCTCTTCGGCAGCTCAGGTATTATCCTCATGAACTTGGATCCCCAAGTTACTTCCGAAGCTGTGCATGCTGAATTCCAAGTCTGCGGCTGCAGCTAAGTCACTCCTGCCCTTCAAGCCCTGAAGCGTCGGTCCTGCATAGCAAGCTACTATACCTTACTGTATCTTACACCTTGTATTCAGACTCGTTCGGACGCTTCAGCAGTAAATCCTGAAGCTACTTCCGCACTTATCTATGCCCGGTCCCCCAAGTCTAGATCATGTCGAATGCAAAGCGCCCGGGGTGTTGCATTGTAGAGGCGACTGTTTCGAGTGAAAGTCTGGTACCTCAAAGACCTCAGCCCCTGAACCCCTAAACCCTTCAACGCTGAACCCCTGCACTTGCAACACGTAGCCTGCTTGCAAGGAGCATGGGTCATCTTTCACGCAGGCCGCATCCGAGCGTAGCCTATCAAAAGCATCCTTCAACATCCCAGGAATGCCAAAATTCGGGTTACCCTTTTTTGGTGTCCCCATTGTAAGGACTACAGTATTTTTGGCTCCCTTCATTTTGGGAAACTACCATATGTAATCAGGGTTATAGGTGAGATTATAGAAGTGGCCCTGGATAATCATGTAAGAATCCTATTCAGAACTGCCAATCGGGGTGTACATGTTCTAAGAATCTAGTTTTCCTAACCTGAGCATACACCAGTTTGGGAGAATAACAACGCCATTATGAGGGATCTGGTTGTGACTAATGTCAGCTAGTTTGCTGGAGTCACTTTAGTCCTTGCTGTCATCGTAGCCTCACGAGAACGAAATCCAGAAAGCGAATCCCAAAACTGCAAACCTCTAGGCGACTGATGTATGAAGGCTCCCAGTTGACCTCGTTAGGCTTCAGGTTTGGGCTTGTGTGATGCGATGGAAGTAGGCTTAAGAGTCCTAGACCCTAAAGCCCTAAACCCCTAAATCCTAAACCCTAGGGGTTGGGCCCTGGGTTTGGCTTCAGGGTTTGAGTATTTTGGATTTGGGGCCTGTGCTAGGGGAGTGAAGCCCAAGACCTTGCGTGGGGGAAAAGCGGAGGGTGACCCTAGCAGTGAGGAAGGACGTCATATTGTCCATGGCAGGGTTCGGGTTTAGGGTTTAGGTTTTAGGAGGTAGGGTTCATGGCAGATCTGCCGTAGACTCGACCTTAAACCCTATAACCCAAGCACCAAATCCCAAATCCGGGCACCAAGTCTTGAGAACCGCCTTGAGATCCCAAATCCCAAGGCCCGGACACAGCATTGGTAAAGAAGGAACTGACCACTCAGTCCCGGTATATAGGGGAATGGAAATTGAAAGGGCAGCTACTCTAGTACTTAGGCTCCAGAGCTGCAACTTATAACAATGAGTAACCTCCACAATATTGCACCATTGTATATCAGGTGGATGCCTTCCAGTCGGTGGAGCCATTCAGAAGTAAGTTGTTATATCGGCAGTTTCACCTCAGTGCCACCTTAATTTACGCAGTTAAAGGCATCTAGGTTTCGTGCTCTTTCGAACAGCTCCACACCTCTTGCTGGAATTCAAGCCCCAAATCATTCCAGAATCCTAAATCCCAGATTGCCAACAGTCTTATCGACATCGGGATCCCGGATCCGTTGTACAATTATGACAGTATAGATCACTGTACATAGACCTCAACATGATATGGGCAATTCTTCACACCACTACGTTATGGTTTGTTTGGTGCTCATTATGAGTGGGCCTTTAGCGTTTTCCCAAACTTCCAAGTTCCCAAGACAAGTATCGTTCAAGCGTTGACCTGGATCCGCAACAGCATCCCGAAGATAAAGTTGCCAAATTTCGAATCCCCCCAAATGCTTAGCCCTAAAAAATTGAAACGTCTTGGACTTGAGATTGCCCCTCACCTCTTCTCCCAATTCCAAGAAGCCTCGGCTTAAAGCTGTAGAATCCGGAATTTTTACATCTCGGGACGACCCCCAATCCCTTGCATCACCATGCCAGAAGGCTTCAAGGATGGGACTGCAAGAGGCTGAGTTCCCCTCCTACGCCCTGTACATCCCCCCCAAACCTTGCATAGTCAGCAGATTTCTTGCATAATTTGATCCTACATAACCCCAATCTACTATAGTAGTTTCCATTTTTCCCATTATCCCTATATACCCCCCAATATACTATAGTAGTTTCCATATATGAAAGTAGTCCTCACATCCCTGTACATTTTTTGGGATCACTCCTTTAAGGGCCCTGTACTCAGCTTCTCATGCCACAGGCATTGAATCTTGCTGGAATGCCTGTGGATCCTGAGGAGGAGGGTAGGTCCGTGCCCCAGTTCAGGGTTCAGGGTTTGAGGCATGGTGTTCAGGGTTTGAGATTGAGGTTTCGGAGTTGTGTAGATGTGCGTATGTAGTTTTCGGGGTCCACAGCCCTATCATATTCCAGGAAGGGTTTTGAAGTCTGCAGGCTTTCTTGGTTACGAAAATCCCGGTAACTGACGGTATGCATGGTGATGCAAATTGCGTGTGCCATCGTACCATTATCCTTCTGGCTATCTGGTTCTAGTTTTGATAGGCTTGTTCTCATGCCTTGGATAGAGGTTCTGAGCTAGGAGATTATGCTACGGTGTTGTTCACGATGCAGATCGGAAGTGCCAAAAAGGAAGAGTATGTTGGCTCCACGAGATAAATGAGATAGCTAGGCTACTATTGCACGCAACGTTGTGTTTGCAAGCGTCGAAGCCCAGCAATGATCTTGCTGAAGGCTTAGTGGTGTCCTTGTTTATATGTGCTGTGGGGCAAGCTGTTGGGCATAGCTGCAACTCGCTCAGAGCCTGAGGCCTGATGCTTAGATTGGGATGTAGGTTGCTCCAGGGTCAGTATTGGAGAGTTCAGATGCCCTGATGCTTAAATCCTAACCGGATGGGCATGGTGGGCTCACGTTCTCACGACCATGACTCCTGTCTTCCAAGGACCACGGCGATCCGAAACGAGACCAAGCTTCTTGTCGCAAGTGAGCCGTTCTTATCACTCCCTAGAGGGCTCTGCACGGGTTTATCTAGGATGCTCTCCCTAAACCCTAAACCCTTGATTTCATTCTACCATTCTACAGCTTTCTGCGGTGAATGTTTGGGTGCAGGGCGTGTGGGGCTGACCTGAAGAACCACCAAGCATGGGACAACTAAGTCCTAGAGCAGGTGTGGAGTCCTGAACTGTGTGGAGTTTGCATCATGGGGTGACACCTCAGGGTTTGCGTCGCGCATGTCGGCATGTTTGAGTCTTTCACCCTTGTCTCTAGTTGATCACAAGGCTTGGCACCTGACCCTAGGCAAGAAATTCTTACTCCCAAGCTGAAGAAACCTCGCAGTTACCTACGCCCCAAACACCCCTCACCCCCCAGTTCATTCTGATGCTGTAGCCGGGCCCATAAATCATACCAAAACCCACCCTCAAGCCAGATCCAACCTAAAGCCCCACAGAGGCCTCAGGAAGCCTTTCTCAAACCTATGGGAAAATGCAAGTTGTAACCAGGTATTCTTCCAGCTATACTCCGTCATGATTGCTGTTGTGCTGTCGCTGGTATTACTTATATAGTCACCTAGTCTTAGGCATGTGCGCTTTATCTTTCGTTTCGACGAGAACTACTGTTGATACAGGGAGTAGTACCTACTCCGGATTCTATAGGGACCATTTTGAGAACCCCCCATGGTTACCCAGGGGAGATTACAAGGTTGATCTCAGATGCTGTTCAGTAGCAAGGAACAGCGACTTTAGACGCATGACCAGGATACAACCCCCCCCCCCCGAAAGCCATGCAAATGTAAACTAGTTGTTTCGTGCCATTTAGGTGCCAGAGGCAATCTGAAGCCCTAAGTTTTTTTAAAGATCTCAACGCTGAAGCCTAGAACATTTACATTCTGAGCCGCGCGAATTCCTATGCCATTGAATAATCAAAAAGAGGCTGGCCTTGTTGCGAAATTTCCCTCACAGTCCTGGTACAGATCAATACAGTTCCTACCTGAAGTCTACATGAAAATTTGTCCTTCTTCTTACTGACGCCATCTGCACCTTCCACCCTAGATACACCCCCCGCTCCTAAAGAACCCCCTCTGAACTTGATTGAGGTTAGACATCCTCTTGGCCAACTGTAGCGCGGCCGCCTGCCGCAAGTGGATGGTGTTGGTGTTTTTTGGGATTAGCTTCTGGGATCTTCTAGGTGTTGAGGTTCAAGCTTCAAGGTTTCAAGGTGTGAATTTCGATTTCGGCCTTCCGTTTCCCCAAAAATCCCTGAACCCCACACCTCACCACTTGAAGCCCAAGCCCAAAGCCAGCAATCTTTGTAAGGCCATGTTTCTGAGGACATCGCGGGATCCCCACTTTTGCACCCTCGGAACTAATCAGACCAATCAGGCCTAGAGGCAATTGTTTCCAAGAATTGCGAATGAGGCCCAATCTTTGTGGAGGGTCATATATTGAGGGGAAGGTTGTGAAGATTGTGGGTCCTTTTGGGGTACCCTACATGTTCGGGGCGTTATTATTTTGTGAATTTGGACATAGTTTGACATCCCCTCCATGTCTAGGTTCGTTTGGAAAGCTGGAATCCTTGAGCACCCGGCTTTTAACTCTGGAGCCTGCTTTGACAGACCTCTAGTCTTTAGGGTTTGGGGGTTTAAAGTTTTGGGGTTTAGGGTTTTTGGGGTTTAAGATTTTGGGGTTTAGGGTTTTGTGTTTCAGGGTTGGGGTTTAGGATTTGGGGTTCAAGGTTTTGGGCTTAGGGGTTTGTGGGTTTAGCTTTTCGTCGGCGGGTCGGTTTGCGATTCTTACTTGGGATACCTGGCTTTCTGAAAGTAAATAAAGATCAACCGCTAGACCAGCATTTTGCTGGTTTCCCACTGGCAGCCGTAGCAGATGATGGCAATAAATTTCAAAACCACAAATCCCGGTCACTTGGCCATGCGGGTTCGCGTATATAACTTGCAAATGATTTGGCATGGGGGCAGAGGTGAAGGCTTGGGTTAGGGTTTGTTACGACAGTTTTGGGTATAGGATTCAGGGTTTGGGGTGTGAAGGCACGGTCGTTTCTGTGCTATGACGATCCAACGGAAGCCTTCACCAAATCGCTCAGAAATTGGCGTCTCTGCCTTAGCTGAAGATGATGTTCTGCTTACATAGTCTCTGGGGTTCCGGTACCATCGCGTACCATCGCTGCGAAGAGAAGCCGAACGCTAAGAAACAAGTATTAGCATATGATCTGACTGGTGACATCGGGCTCAGGGTCGTCGAGCAACCTCATCATCATTCCGCTGAGGACTGTAAATGTCAGCTTCTAGGTGCCAGATACAGCGCTGAAGCCTCAAGCCGTAAGACTGGGTTGCTGTTAAGG